TTTTGCAGTGGTTACATGTCCCCGGAGTATGCAATGGACGGCCTCTTCTCTGTAAAATCCGATGTTTTCAGCTTCGGAGTTTTGGTTTTGGAGATTGTGAGTGGGACCAAGAACAGGGGATTTTATCAGACGAATAATGAGCTTAATCTTCTAGCATATGTAAGTAATGAGAACTTGTTAAAAAATATTTCCTTGCTAGCTATTTATGATTTTGAAAACCATTCTCATGGTTTCGGAAAAGGCAAAATGCATTTTGTCCTGTTGTTTTTAACGTCAGAGCAACTTTAGTCCCAAAGTTCCAACTTTTGGCTTTTTGGTCATGTGATTTAATATTTTGCTGCAATTTTCAATTTAAGTCCTTAAATGATTGAAATTGTAACAAAATTTTAAATGACAAAATTGAAATTTCAACAAAATTTTAAATTATAGGACTTAAATTGTCATAAAAAAATCTATAAATTTGGGAATTTGCTGCAATTTCAGTTCTCAAAGGACTAAAAATTTGCAGCAAAAATATAATTTAGCCTTTCGAAAAGTATGATTTTAACTAAGAATTCAAGTCTCGAATAGCTATTTACAATATTTAGTTCAAATTATACAGGCGTGGAAGTTATATAGAGATGGTAAAGGGCTCGAGTTAATGGACTCGTCGTTAAAGGGTGGATCCTACTCACCGAGTGAAGTCATGAGATGCATACAAGTCGGGCTTTTGTGCGTTCAAGAACATGCGGACGATAGACCAAATATGTCGAACGTATTATTGATGTTAAGCAGTGATTTTGGGTCCATGCAAGAGCCTAAGCATCCCGGTTACTGTTTAGGAAGACGGCCAGTTGAGAATGAGTCATCCTCGAGCAAGCAAGACGATACGTGCACCGTGAATGAAGTCACCGTGACCATGCTCGAAGCTCGATAGTGATCGATCGAGAGGTTAATGTGCTCGGTTATCGGTATATAAATCTCTCGATCAAGGCCAAATATTGATGTGCATTTATTTTTTTTTTCTTTTTGACTAGAATGGTTTTTTTTTTTGTAGGCATTCTTTTTTATTTTAATTATTATACAAGGGATAGTTGAGGAAAGAGTTTTGATTTTACTAACTTATGAAGGAGATAATATGGGAAATATACAGTTTCTGCATTATCTATGTCCGTTCGACTCACACTACATAGCAATGCCCTTCCACGAGTCATATTATAGACCAATTGTGCTTAACATTCAAGAAAGACTTAAATTGTTCTATACAAGTTAAGCCTCTCCATGTTGATATGATTTTTTTACGCTTGGTTAAGGTGAAATATTCTAATTGTCCTGTTTTATTCAGCTTTTGCGAAAAAATGGAGAATGTCCGACTGATTTTTTCAATACAGGTTTTGGTCCACGCATTTTGTTCAAATTTCGCAAACTCTAAAAAGGAAAAAGGAAAACGGTTTTCAGCTTGTAGCCGGAAAATAAATGCTTGACCAANGTATGTTAATAGTCAATACGTGAGTAGTATAGAATTATTCTTCTATTTTTGAATCATATCATTCACGCAATTTCAAAGACGGGGGAAGAGAAAGAAAACTTGGGATTTTACACTTCGGTAAACCTCTAGTTTCACGCTTCATTTATCTTGGAAGGTGGGACCTTTGGTAGGTCTAAAGACCTTAACCCAACAGATAATGACTACATAAACGAACTTAATTAGGCAGACAATATATTTTGTAATAAATTGGACCGTATTAAAAAGGTGAGACATTTGATTTTGAGATGGTTAATTAGGTTCATCACCAGTCATTTTCAGAATTATAAATACATTGCAAATTAAATTTCAACACTTGTTTGATTGAGGTTCAGCCAATTTTCAACTTTGAGGCCTGAGTGTGACTAATGAAGCAATTTCGTGGCATGGAATTGTGAGGCGGAAATTATTTTATGGGTTCTATCAAAGAGGATTAGTTAACACAGATGTCCTCTTTATAACGCACTAAGAAAAAATAGTTTGGTCGATTTACTACGAATGGCTCAAATTGGCTTTATTTGAGATTGGTACCTTCTATTCATCATCTTAAATGGTACTTAGAATTTGACTTGGTTGATTGATTGGTTCAATTATTCATATTAGGCTAATGGTATTTGTATCATAGGCTCAACCAATAAATATTTTAGGTTATTTTCTCATATAACATACCTACTTTTATTATGAAATATTATACTTGTATTTATATTTTTGCTTTAAAGTGACATTTGAGTGTACTAATATGAAATCTATTGAAAATATATGAATGTTAACCATTAAACAAATTAACAAAAAACTATGTTTAGGTTATGGGTGTTGTTTAGTACTGATATAAGTATTTCAGAAAGATACCAAGAGAAAGTTTCAAAAGTGGAAACGGATATAGAAATGTGACTAGTCTTCATGAATGGTGATTAGTTAATAGTGATTCTTCTATGTACGGCAGTTAGTATACACATACACACCAAGTGACGTGACAGAAAATTGTGATGTCATATAAAATAAATATGTAGTTGGTAAATCACAAAATCCGGATACATTACTCATGAACACTTCTTAAGGTGATTTTTATGAAAGATATAGAGTATAATCCACAAATAATAACTCTACTAGTATCATTTTCCAAAGCGGAATGAAGATCGAAATTTCCATCAACCAATTGCTCGATCAAACCAAGAACACGAACCATGAACATGATCGTTGAACAAACTCGACTAAAGAATTCATATAAGTCATCAAAGTTGAGGTACGTGAAACATGCTCTTCATAAGACGAAAATTGCCACTGACTAATGCCCACATTTTCAACAAACGCTCCAAAATACAACGACTTTTATCTTGCCTATAGTGGCACTTCAAATACACAAGATTTCAGTGAACTTATTTGTGTTTAAAACTCTCAAGAAATGAATAAAGAATAATGAACACAATATGAATATGAACTATCTTATCTTATGTTCTATTTCAATTTCTTCTCTGTAAGTTAAATGTACTCGTGTTGATGAATTTCAAGTCATAGTATTCATAGATGTTCTTGGTCATTTCCAGGGAATTCATGCTTCAAAAGAAACCTTCTAGGATGTGGCGGTCATCATAAATTGAGTTGAAATCTTTTCGGTATGAGTATCGCGTGCTCGTCGTGCCCCACTTGTGGGCTGATCTAGGCGTCGTGCCCGTGCTGGAGCTTGGCATGTGCCTGCACACTGGGAGTTCGTACCCACTCGTCCGGACTCAAAATCGTGTTATGTTTTTTCTACTTGTCCCCTACGAACCCTTATAGAGTTATAGCATGCATACTACATGATTATGGCTCTTTTTGCTTCTCCAAACATTTGTTAAAATAAAACGTTTGCAAATTCTACAACCTTTGAGTTATTTGAACTCAATTTTGAGTTACATAACCTCAAATTCCTCCACATTTCAACTATAAAATTAATTTCTCATTCAACCTACAACGGTTTTGAGATTTTATTTTAAGTTTTCTAGAACCAATTGGTACAAAATTAATTGTCCTTACACTGTTACCAACATTTTTGGATAGGTTATCTTCGAGTTACCAACATTTTCGAGTCGAAAAAGTTGACTTGGTCGAATTTCAGGTTAGGTGCAGTCAAACTTTTATTATTCCAAAAGAACGTATAATTAAATTAAAATTTCTATTGACATGTAAGTTAAAGTTTGTTCTAGATGTAAAATTAATTTATTATTGTAAATTTTAATAGCCCATTGCACTTTTTTTTTTATAAAGATTATATTATTAGCTAGACCATAATAATAAATCTTTAAATGTCATTATCTTATTTCAAAAAAAACATAGTATCCTTAAGAATTAATTTATTTTCAACCCTAGTAAACAATTTATTATTTATGTTGGTAGAATAATTTATTTTTTTTCTTACATTGTGCAGGTCGGGTAAGGACGAGTTCATGCCAATTAATAATTTATTGGGGGAATGCGAGTTATCGTTCACCAATGAGTACCCGATTACCTGACGGTAAAAATCAACACAAACTCGAGGGTTACTAGTTAGACATTGGGCAAGGTCCGAAATGAGTAAAAGGAATAAGGTTCAAGATCAAGATTATCAAAACTCGCATCTGATTTGACCCGAAACATTTACATCCATCATTGAAAGCTCACTCCAAATAACTTGATTTGTGTTCTCCAAAGGTAATAATAAACTTGGATCAGATCTTGTATTTCATTTCGTGTTGCATGACACATAATGTTATTATAAAACACTCCTTTAAACATGAAATCGCACGCCTTTAAACATGAACTTTGCTTGATTATTTTGTTAACCAAGGTTACGATCTTTATGCATTTAAAAATTAAAACTCATCTTATGGTTTGAGTTTTGAAAGATGAGAGAGTGATGACATCGACCGTTATACCTCACCCGAGGTGCTAGTCAACTTTCCATCTAATCATTCCATCCAAAAGGATAATTCCGTTTGTTTGATTTGAGATCACCAAAGGCTAATTAGTCATAATGATTATTTTCCTTATATTTGGCATGACATGGCAACAAAAATGATGTGTCAGCACATAAGTTGACATATCATATAGTTTTGAATAAAAGGCATATTTACCATGAAATTTTATAACTTTGTAAATTGATTAATTAATCCTTNTATTTTTTATTGCATAAGTATGTATTTTTATTAGAAAAAAATATATTTCAACGAAGGAAGCGTAACACCAAACATAAAACGTACACTTTTATTGGGCTAATGTACTGTTCCAATTCATTCATATTCTTTGTACTCAAATGTTATATTTCAAAATACATTATAAACAAAATTATGATATTTTATATTACAAGTAAATATCTTTTCATAAGAAAGTTTAATTGTCTAATTGTTACATAGCCTAACAATAACATTTGTGAATGTAAAAACTCGTCCTTGCATCTGGAGTGAAAATCAATGCTATTAAATTGAAAAATTCAAAACAGAATGAAGTTTGCTTCCGCTTTGTATTCTAACTTTTGACTTGGCTAAGAGTTAATTACATTCTACTAATGTGGACAATTTGAGTTTATTATGTTAGATTAACCGTATTTTGCCAGTTTTTATGAAAGTATGTGATCCTCCGATTTAAATTTTAATTTTCAAACGCTTGATCAGACATCAGCATATATACGTACTAAGTGTATAAATGTTTGAAAATTACACAAAATATCCAGAAATTCTATGGTGTTCATATGGGCACCATATGGTGCCATAAATCTCACGATCCAACGCTTAATTTCTGCAAAATATCCCTCTAACGTATATTTCAATTATTTCACTGCCCATAAAATATCCCTCTAACGTATATTTCAATTATTTCACAGCCTATAAAATTATCTCATGGATGTAATTACGATTTTATCCCCATTCTCCTTAAGTTAATACCATGTCAGCCACTTCATTAATTAATTGACCACGTCAGTCCGAAAATTTGTCCACGTAGAAGTCTACTCCGACACACTGACAAAAATATCGTCATCGATGGAGTTTGAGTTCGGATTGTAATATTAAAACAAGGTTATGCTTTGTTTGCTAATATTTAAAAATTTGTGGTGGTTATAATGCTACCATACAACTTAATGGTCCCAAGTTCAAATTCTAGCGTTGTTTAAATTTTACTCCTTCTTTGCACCAAAAAAAATAAAAATAAAATAAAAAATAAAAAATTAATTGATCAAAATTACTAAAAAGTGTAAAATAGTGATATTACGGACAATTAGGCTGATATATTATGGTCAAACTTATTGTCGGTGTAATTTAACATATGCATATATACTATCTTCCAAAATTTACTTTTAGTCCACATCCAAATTCCAATTTAGTGATACTGTTTCATTTATATTCAAGCCACTATCTTCCAAAATCTTAGACCATATCCCCCAAAAAAATCAGAATGACTTATCTCAAATTTCAATTCATAAAATGGAAAAAATTGATAAATAATAGTAATTCGTTAAAAAATAAAAAAAGAAAAGAGAGAGAGAGAAATATTGACTTTTTGGGGCAACCACGTCACTCATAGAGAGGCGAATATACACAGTCACAGGCAGAGCCTCCACCACCTCACAAAAATCCTCTCACTCCTCAAACCTTCTCTTTTCCGTTTTCACAAAAAAAGCAGATTAACAAAACCACATATAAACCCTCCTTCACTTTCCATTTCCCCACATCCAAAAAAGCCCCAAAGGCACAATCTTTATTCAAAAGCAGCAAAGAAAAAAGAAAAAAAAAAAAAAATGGCCGGTGAGTTGCCGGACGATTTCAAATGCCCGATTTCTTTAGAGATAATGACCGACCCGGTCATCCTCTCATCGGGTCACACCTTCGATCGGGCCTCCATACAGCGTTGGCTCGACGCCGGCCACCGCACCTGCCCAATCTCCAAGCTGCCCCTGCCGGAGCCCCCAACCCTCATCCCCAACCATGCCCTCCGTAGCGTCATTTCCAATTACGCCCTTGTCTCCTTCCCCAAGCCCCAGCCCTGCCCGCCCGACCCGCAAACCCTAATCCAGCTCCTGCTCTCCCCGTCGTCCCGTTCGGAGGACAGACTCGCCGCGCTCGACCGGCTCAGCCGGGCCTCGAAGCGCGACTCGGCGGTTCGTCGGCGGCTCGCCGAGTCTGGCGCCGCGTCGGCTGCCCTGGACTGTGTCGACTCGTCCGATCCGGGGCTCCAGGAGAGGGCCCTCCACTTGCTTCTCAACCTGAGCCTCGACGACGACAGCAAGGTGGGTCTGGTGGCGGAGGGGGTCGTTGGGAAGGTGGTGCACGCCCTGTGGTGCGGCGGAGGGGACGCCCGCGCGGTGGCGGCCACCGTGTTGACCAGCCTCGCGGTGCTAGAAGTCAACAAGGTTACGATCGGGTCATACCCGGATACTATTCCGGGTCTGGTGTCCCTGCTTCAGATTGGGAATTTGAGGGAGAGAAAAGAGGCGGCCACGGCACTTTTCACGCTCTGTTCATTCGCCGACAATCGGGTTCGGGCTATTCAGTGCCAGGCGGTGCCAATTTTGATCCAGAACGCTAATTCGGGCCTCGAGCGGGCCGTGGAGGTTCTTGGCCTGCTGGCGAAGTGTAAACCGGCGAGATATGAGATGGTGAGGTTCGATGGGTTTTTGGATATCTTGATAGGAATTGTGAAAAACGGGACCTCGAGGGGCGTGCAATATGCACTGTTGACTTTAAGTTCTCTGTGCTGTTATAGTGAAAGGATTGGTTTGGAAGCTTTAAGGGAAGGGCTTTTTGAGACTTGTGTTGGGTTATTGGAGGACGATAATGAGAAAGTGAGGAGTAATGCGAAGACTTTGATTCGGGTTTTGCAGGGAAGGAGAGAAAATGTATGATTCTGCTAATGGTTTGAGTGAAGAAGATTAAAAATAGTTTGTGTGAAGAAGAAATTGGGAGTCTGTTATGATGATAAAGATTGCATCTTTGGGAGGTGAGTAGGCAGTTTATGTGACTTTTTTCATCTTTTGGTGGATAGAGTTCTGTAAAAAAATGAAAAGACATGGTAAGACAATCTGGTTCTTTTGTTGTACATTCTCAGTTTTATCATACGATACATAAATGTTGTCTCCTGTTTGTGATGTTCATGGGAACTGTGGGAAAATTTGACTCTGAAGCGTCTTTTTCATTTTTGTAACTCAGTATGTTTGTTATATGATAATCGTCACACACGTGTGAGATGTTCTACTATGTGGATGCCTGTCCATTGTTTTGATTTGAGCTTGAATACTTAATTTTGGTAATAGCATCAGTTTGAATATCTTTTCCTTTCCTGTATTGTAAATTTTGTCAGGTGAACAGATGAAATTTGAATTTTCTTGGTTGACTCATTGGAGCTACTTGAATGTGAAAGATATAATGAAAGATTGGTGATGATGAGTGACTTGCTAGTTAGTTTTTAGCATAATCTTGCATGAAACATGATCTGTACATATGGGCAGAGTACATTGGATTTGAGGTTTAATCAACCTATGCAGACTTAAAATGACAATTTTGGTTCGAAATCTGCAATAACTCGATTTTTCTCTGTTGTGTGCTTAACTCAAATTTTTATTTTGCCAACCGATCAAAATGCTCATATTACTTTCGTTGATTTCTTTTGTGCTTACTTTAGTGCTTCTAATGAATTGTCCCCGGTTTATCTCTATGTCAGATTAACCTATCCGAACGTAAGGAACTAATGTAAAACATCATTCTTATCCCTCTCTATTAATTTTCATCCACAAAAAAACAGTTGTTGAAAAGTGATTGTAACTTTGGTTAGGTTTCATCAGTTAGCTCGAAAACTCAACTGTTGGCATGGAATTTTTTCAGGCAGTGAGTAATATTTTCAGTGGTTGCAATTGGGTTGACTTTGCATGATAACATTTTGGATTTCAATTAATTTAAATGGACCATTGCTTGATTTCACGTGTTTTGTGATAGCAGCCGGGCTACAAAAGCGATGGGTGATTACATATAGTCCAAATAGAACCTGGGGAAGGTGGATTGTGCATGACTTGTGCTATTTTTATTTGTATTTTTGTATTAGTTGTCAATTTTCAATATGGATTTGGTTGTTTGCTGGCAGCTTCCATGAAGAACCTTACTCAAACCATCACTGCAGTTTATTATTATTTTCTTTTTCTTTTCTTTTCTCTTTCAAAAAGGCGGGAAAGTATGTTTGGGTAGGTATGAATGTGTAACCGAGAGGTTTGATGCGATCGTTTGCCCACCAATCTTGGATTTGGTTTTAATACCTCAACCAGCTGATGAGATGCATATATGTATAGTTGTTAAACGAAACGAGCTGTTCTTGAGCTCGGCTTAGCTTGCTAAGGTTCGAGTTCGGCTCGATTCAACTCGTTTGATGAACGAGCCGAACTCGAGTTCGTTTCTTTAATGAGCCGAGTTCATTAAGGATCGGAAATTAAAATTCTTATGTAAGTTTCTATAACTTGGCTCGTTAATATTGATAAACGTGGTCAATTCGAGTTCATCTATTAGCTCGTTTAGTTATCGAGTTCGACTCGATGGTCTCTTGCTCGAGCTCGAGCATTAGGAGCTATTAGCACCCTAGGGATAACTTACCTTAATCAGTAAGGCTATTGTTAGGCAGACTTAACGGTTAGACAATCATATTTTTTCAATAGACATGCATATTTACAAACTGAAATATCATATTTTGAAAACTATCATATTCAAAAGAATCATATTTCATAGTATAAGTATAAATTTTTATTTTAAAAAAGTGAGAGAAAGGCCCACCTAAGAATATATATTCCTAAATAATTGTAAGTGTTTGTCAGGCTACTACGAGTCAAAATTGCTTTTGGCTCAATTATCATATTTTTTTACAAACACATATGCTGTTGCTAGACTATCTAACCATTAGACATTTTATATTTTCTTATAAAAAATGCACATTTGTTGTATGAAATTTCATACTTTGTTTCTTATGATATTTTAAAATATGTACATATGTAGAAAGAGTACGGTCGCCTAACCATTAGTATATACATATATATATATATAAAGAAAATCAATAAATATGTATAAAAATGTAAAGTTATATGCAATATATTAATAATTAAAATTTATTTTTTATGCTATTTTAACTTAAATTAATAATAATATTTATTTGTTGAAATATGTACTAACAATATTTATATTTTACAAGTCTAGATAAGCTTCCCAAATATTTATAATGATTTATTCTTTCGGTCTCTAAATTATAAATCAATCTAGTGATTTATTTTAGTTGGATTGTTACATTTTTTAATGTTGATGTTTTATATTTTTGTTGTGTAATCACTTATTTTTAACTATTTATTTTTTTTCTTACAAAATGTTCATTTAATAAGCTCTCATGTACAAAAACGGCAATGTGCTGCAAAAGTAAAATTTAAATTAATTTTTCAACAAAAAAAATTTATTTTTTCATAAATTATAGATATTGCACTTAAATAATAAATACATGAAATTTTATTTTTTTTTTAAGTTTAGGGAGATACGGATTCTAAGTATTTAAAAACATAATGGCAAACATATTGATATTGAGCGTTTCGACTTAAATTACATTATTTAACATTTAAAATCAGACCCCCCTGAGTAAATTTTTTAGATCCGTCACTGAACGCAATGCAAGAATTACTATCGAGTAAATATGTATGTCTTTGGAGACCAATGTATATAGTTAAATCTACGTTTTGTTGGAAATATTATTATTGTTTGGTATAATTTTATACATATTCATTAAGCCATTCAAACTTTTAAAAGCATGGAATTGATTGTCATTTAATGGACCGTTACAGGAAATGACCATATTTCCCGTGGTCGGGTATGACTTATGACTTTTGAGCCTGGAGCGAGTGGGCTTCGGATTTGGGCCCATATTGATGATTTGATGTCCGGTAAATGGCAATATGTTGAAACTTTAAAATCATACAAAAAAGGGAACTAATTTGGCTAAAGGTACATACTTGATTAGAATGGAAGACCATGCCACTGAAATCTTCTTTAGCTGACCATACCAAAACGTGCCGAAAAGCCTTTATGGTAAAATGAAAACTACATGTTTTGGACTGAAATTTGAGCCAACCATAAAAAATATACTTTAATTTAATGTCCTACTTTGAATATGCCATATAATAGCCCTTTTTTTTTTTGGAAAAGGAGACAATAAGTAATAATAACAAAGAATAATCATTTGTTATATGCTAAAAAGATCTAAAGTGATATGCATGAGTTTCTTTAATATATAATTTTTTTTTTTTCTGCTCAATGAGGGGCATGCTTTTTCAGGCAAACATTCATTGCCAAAGTCCTTGCTTATTTTAATATACTTTCTTAATTATGTTTTATGGTTTGTGTTATCGAATAAATCACTCATTAAAATTTTCAATTGAATCGTCTAGCATCAAATCACCAACCAAATGAATATGCAAAACATCAGTCACGTTTCCGATGTTGACACTCTGACGCTAAAATTAGTTATCAAATCAATGATCATTTATATTTGAAAGATGTCATGTTAATTTTGGGTTTCAAACTAGATTAAATTTGGATGTCACAACTATAATCGACTTTGCGGCGAAGACCAAGGACTCGATTTTTTCACGTTCGTGGGATATTACGACATTTGATTCGAATTTAAGGCGTTGACCCTCGGATTAACGTCAACTCAAGCTAAATCAAGTCAATGAGAAGATCAAACAGAAAATTTTGCTCCAAGACTCAAAATCGTTCGTGAGAAGAATCGGAGGAGAAAATAGAGATTGTAATCCACAAAATTTGTTTGATTCGAGAAATTCATCTGTAAAATATTTTCATGTTTATAAATTCAATACACGAAATTTGTTGTTGCACATCCATTCACAAAAAGTTCTCAAAAACTAATTCATAAACACACGACATAACTATAAATAAAAATAAAACAAAAACCATTAATGTACATAACCATGAGAAATATCCAAAACAACATAAACACTAATAAAAAAACAAATTTTTTCTTTATTGTCTCATATCAATTACCTCGTCAACAAAAAAATCTGTTAAAATACCATACATAAACTATGAAAAGTGGAGGAGAAACTCGAAGAAGGGGAAGAGAGAGGGTAATTGATGGAAAAAGAAAAAAGGAAAAAGAAAAAAGAAAGGAGATAAAGAATATTGGTTAATTGCAAATAAAAATTAGAGTATTAGTCTAATTGCAATTAAAAAAACAAAGCTAATTTATGTACAGATAAAATTTATTTTGATGGTGGATGTTGTAATAATCTCTAAACATAAGTACCTAGTTAGATATTTTCTTTTTTAGAAAAGCAGTTCAAATTTGGGCTCTTGAATTGTGGTCCAGTACTATTGGACACTAACGTTTAGGTAAACCTGGGCTTGTTAGCTTTTGTTTACAAGTTTGAGAAGTTTCCTTTTGATTGATTTTAGAAAATGCTTCTTCTTTAAATTTGGTAGAGAAAAAGAAAAAGAGAAAATCAGTCTATTTTGAATTTTTGATTGAATTGAATGAATACTTCACGATCATGTCAGAAAAATGTTGAATGAATTAGTCCAAACACACTCCTAAAAGAGAATACCCATAAAATGAAAATAAAAATAAAGAATGGCGAACCTAAGGGTCTTTTTCAAGTTAATTAATTAATACAGCCTTCATAATATCTTGTAGTATTTTAAATTTGTCGGATTTGTTTAGATTATATTAGTGTGTACCCCGTGCGATGCACGGGAACAATATTAAATTAACAATATTATAAATAGACCTCGAGTTTGAGTCAATGGCGGAAGTGAAACTACTATTGATCCTATTTAAAAAGAGGAAGAAAAAAAATAATTATAAATAAAAGAAGAGGATAAACAATACTTAATAATTATAAACTAAAGATTCGGGGTCAAACAATGTAAAATTATTTTGTATAAGAGAATATAAATTGATTACACACCATTTCAAAATTTTTATTATACTTTTTTGTATGGTTAGCTTAGAATATTTGTAAAAATATTAGTAATTAGACCGATGAAAATTAGCTTCTTAAAATAGATAATGGATTTCTAGTAATAATTATGAATTGGTTTCTATTTTATTTTATTTTTTCTTTTTAAAGATAATGGATTTCTAGTAGTAATTATGAATTGGTTTCTATTTTATTTTATTTTTTCAAATCTGTATAGATAAGGGATGGGATTTTTTAAACACGTAAGCCGTATGCAATGAGGTTTTGTAACAGAAGAGATAAGCTCGTGTAGATTTATACTAAAAATAGGAAAAAGAAAAATAAATATTTATTGTCAAAACGATAAACTAAGAAACAGGAAAAAGAGAAACAAATCTACACAATTAATGAGTGGATTTTTATGCCTATTCAAATTTGTCCAACAATTACTATATATAGGATATATTTAATGATTTTGGCAGGAAAAGGTTTCTAAATTTGTAAAAAGGTTATTCTTTTTATATAATGATAGATTGTCACAATAATGCTAAGGAGCCAACAATTGTCAACATCTCTAATAATCTAAGAGACATAGAGAGGGATAAAAAAAGAATAAAATAGTTCTAGTTAAATGCTTACCTCAGAATTACGTCAATTCGATGTCATATAATTCAATAATTGTAATAATATATTGTATATTTTGTGTGTGCCTGAAAACTCAAGGCTTGACGTATAATCAAGATTAATATATGGTTACGGGTCAGATGTAACTTTGCAATCGAATAGAAACAAAGGAATCTGCTTTTTCAAACCCTTAATTAATTAATTAATTAATCAATTTAACTTAATTAATTAACTTTCAGGTTTCGAGGCCGCCATGGATTATCGATCATTAGAGGCACTAGTCCAATTATTGTTCAACATGTTAAGTATGCAGTTATATATTCATTCAGTATTACATATATACCATCAAAGAATATCCATTATTATTTATGTACAGACGCCCATCAAATATATGAAAATAAAGACAGAAAAAGAAATAGGTTTAATCCTGATAAAATTTGAAAAATCCACACAATTAGAATTTTGTAGGAGCATTAACCAAACGATCAAAAACTTATTATTCGTATTAATATGTGTATGATTGAACTGATTCTATTTAGTTTATTATATCCACCTATACATATATTCATAATAAAGAAATATCATGTTTTTGGATTGTTTGTTAATCGGCCTTTTAGACCAAACTAAAAGCTTGAGAACAAATTAGTAGTTTAATCCCTCATAATATCAAATTTTATCATTTAGTAAGTAGCAGTTTGAAATAGGGTTTTAATTCAAAACCCTAATTTACGAGGTAGAAAAAAAAAATCAATAGATGAGCATTTTGGTACAGAAGATTATAATTTTATTTAACATCTAATTCTTTACCAGTCACCTTATATTTTGCTAATCCAATGATATGATCATAAGTGTGCTAATTAAATCAACTATCTAATATCAATTAATTGGATCACGATATGTAGCTATCCTCCAAGTAGCCAAGGCCTTTGTTTACTGCTGGCTTACTACACTTCCGGTAACACTTGCTTTATTTTTGTCTATATCAATATATATTTTTTTTTATGGAAGATAATGGAAAAAAATATGGATATTAATAAAAATCCCATTGAACTTTTATAGTTGGTGTCCATATGCACCATGTTAACATATTATACGTGGAGATGTTAGTCATGTTACACCTTTTCCTGTCCTACGTNAAAAGAAAATTTATTTCTACTCTCAATAAATGAACTACCAAAATTTGCTTCATTCCGTTCATCCATTGAAATTAAAGCTTTAATTGATGGTTAGGCCGGCTACATTAATTTATTTAGTAAATTACACAATTTACTTTATTTCAGTTTTATTTTATGCATATGAAGCTAAATCCTAGTACTAAATGACAGCAAGTAATTATCATCATTACGCATGCAACACTCATCAATTATACTATTCGAAATATAGTTGGTTGGTTAATTAAACACTTCATTATAGCTTTAAGAACACATATATAACCTGAGGATCATATAGTAAGACATGATTTATTTATATAGACGAGCTTTTCATAGAAACAAAAAAAAAAAATTTGTAAGGCTGATGTTAGGCATGTCTAACGATTATGCGGTCATTTAAAAAAAATTTAATAGATATACTCGTATTACAATTGGAAATGTCATATCTTAAAAAATATTTATAATATGTAAAAGTATGCATTTTTATTACAAAAAATTGTAATGAATCAATCCTTCTCACATAAAAATTTGTGTTGTGCTTGTACTAGAAGTATTAACTTATTAAACATATTTTCCTATAAAGAAAATGCAAATAAAATGAGAAACTGTTGGGTGTACAAATCAATTCCCACATCGGAAAATTAAAGGTTCTAAGTCCAATATATAAGATTGGTGAGCTACTCTTTCTATTGTCAATTGATTTTAGAATAAAACTTTATTTGGACTTGTATGTTGAGCTTGATGGAGAATTTGACTTGAGTTGTTGATTCTAACAATTGGCATGTTTGTGGGTGTGCACATTCCATCCCACATTGAAACCCTATTATTGTAATATTGTTTTTTTAAAATTAATCTTGGAAATAAATTTGACCATTTTATCAGCACATATATGGTTAATAGATAAAAATACTATATTTTTTTTATTTATTGGATTTAAAAAGAAAGGATATTTAAAATTCGGTTGCTAGATAATTAAGAGTCGTAAATCTTAATTTATTTGTTTTAGATTTTTGTGTGTAGCTATCAGAGTAGCTTTTTTGTATGCGCTTATTCTTTCAAGTTTTGCCAAACCCTATCAACCTCGTCTATAGAGCTGTATAACCACTACGGCTACGGGTTTGAATGGTCTCGAGCTCCAAATTCTGTTGAATTGAAGAAATGTTAAATGTGTTGTTTTTTTTATTAATAGATTATAGTTTGTATGAAAATTGAAACACATTAGTAAGTAATAATAATATAATATGTGATGCTCGATAATATTCATAAGAGACTCAAATTGTTAACTATTTATAATTTTTTTGTTGGAACTCAAATTCTATGTTATATGAACAAGCTTTTATTGAATCGTACGAGCTCAAATGAACTTTTGCTCAGTGAATTTACTGATCATCTTACGGTTATTGGATGAAAATTTTTTTATTTATTTGTTCAACTAAGATTGATTTCACTAAATTGAAAATTAAAAAGAATCATAAGAAAATATTTTTGTTATTTCATCTTACTAACATTATTACAAAAAAATAAAAAAGTAATTATCGTTATAGATTTTTCAACAAAAAAAACAGCATTTCAACCGCTCAATTAATTATAACTATCAAATCTTATCAATTAATGTTTTGTTATTTTATCACATTAATTTTAATTAGTACATATTGATCTAATATTCATTTACAATATTTTATTTCTCACTATTAAAAATATAATATTTTTCATATATTTATTACTTTAAAAATATATGAAAGAGGCATTCCGAAATTACTTAAATCAAATGTATTAACCAACGTTTCTACTTTCTACAAGATATTTTCCTACTTTTTTTTACATAATTTTTAAATCACACTCTAAACNCTTCTATATATATAATTTTTAAATCATCAAACTCAAAAGCATCAGTGGAGAGTCGCGACAGGTTGGCTCAACAAATAGTCAACGACCATGTCATAACCACGTCATCCCACGTTCACTAAAAAACTCTGCCTCGTCATAAATCAAGAAAACTATACAGTGAAATAGTAATAAATACCAGTATTAGATATCAAAAGATAAGCAGAGACCGAAAAAAATTGTAGTTTAGTCAAGGAGTGATCTTCCACAAAAGTGTCTATAAATAGTAGCCTTCTCATTTACTTTCATTCACTCATCAAAACACTTCACACAGCAAATCAAACTAAAGAAATCAAGAAAGAGAAAGAAACACGCTTCATTACAATGGCTGCTAAAGTATACATTGTGTATGTATCACTATAACTTTTTTCTTTTTTCTCTGTTTTATATCACAATACTCATTGAGATATATGCAGGGTGCCCTGTTTAATGGATTCACATATGTTCTTTTGTTGTACATTTTGGTGTTTATAATTCTACTTAATAATAAAAAAAAACTCATTCATGTGCTTTTTTTTTCCTTCTTTTTCCACTTTTGGATATATATTTTTTTTTCCTTTCAGGAATGGGTTGTTACTGAATGTTACAAATCCCCTGTTCTTTGCCCTGTTTTCCAGCTTATTATTTGTGCATTTTGTGTTCGCTCTAATTCTTGATTTTGGCTATTAGATTAAGTACAATGAGTTCTTCCTTCAAAAAATAAATAAATAAACTGTTTAGTCATTTAGAAATCGGACGATTATAGTTCCTTATATGAATGAATCCCCTAAAAATTATTAAATACAGAGCAGATCGCTATAAAGATAAACTCTTCCCCAAACTCTACTCTTACGACTTACAGTAGTTTCTGCAGATATTTGTTTGAATAGAAAAACACTTCTCAAAGTTATCTGTTAATCAAGAATCAACAATCTTTGCTATTTATTTCGAAAGCTAAACAAGAAATTCGAACCTTTTTTTTTTTTTTTTTTTTTTTTTTTTTTTTTTATTGTTTCCTTTTTTCAGTTACTACTCTACTTACGGGCATGTTGAAAGACTCGCACAAGAGATCAAGAAAGGAGTCGAATCCATACCAGAAGTCGAGGCTAAACTTTGGCAGGTTTAATTATTGTTATATCAACATAAGCTATTTAACCAACCCTTAATTTAATTAATTGCTAGCAATTATTCACTCGAACAGGTCCCCGAAACTCTGACGAACGATATTCTCACGAAAATGGGGGCCCCACCAAAGAACAACAACGTGCCGGTTATTAGCCCAAACGAACTTGTGGATGCCGACGGCATCATATTCGGTTTTCCGACAAGATTCGGAATGATGGCCGCTCAATTCAAAGCATTTTTCGACTCGACCGGTGGTTTATGGAGGACTCAGGCACTCGCCGGAAAACCCGCCGGAATATTTTACAGCACCGGATCTCAAGGCGGCGGCCAAGAAACCACACCGTGAGAACTTCTAAATAAAAAAAAAAAAAATGTAATCTATATAAACGAGCCGAACCGAGCTGGGGCTTAGGGTGCTAGAACTCGAGCGGCTCGTTAAATAAACTATCCAGAAATCGAGTTCGAGCTTTAACGAGACGAACTATAAAAAATTATATAAAAAATCATTTTTCGAGCTTTATCAAACTGAGCTGAGCTCGGCTCGGCTCGGCTCGTTAACCAAACAAGCTTTAAATGAGCTCAAGTTCGACTCGCTAAAGCTTCAAACTCAAGCCGAACTCGAGCCGAGCCAGACTCATTTAATTTAATAAACTATCTACAGCAAAAGAAAAAGTGTTTTTTCTTTTTCTTTTCAAAAGAAGATCAATAGTGGTTCTCTACTTACCTCCGAACTTGAAACTTATTGTTCTCTGCTACAAACTGAGCTACTCCTTCTCAGATAAAGTATTTTTACGCAGAAAAGTTTGGGTAATTTTTGCAGATTAACAGCCTTAACACAACTTACTCATCATGGCATGATATTCGTGCCTATTGGCTACACGTTTGGAGCCGGGATGTTTGAAATGGGGGAAATTAAAGGCGGGAGCCCTTATGGTGCCGGGACATTTGCAGGGGATGGGTCGAGACAGCCCTCTGGAATCGAACTCGAGCAAGCTTTTCACCAGGGAAAACACATTGCAGCCATCACTAAGAAGCTCAAACAAACTGCTTAATGTGGGCTATGAATAAATTCGCGATTCATTAAATAAATTTGTGTGCTTTCNGGAATAAATTCATCTTAATTGGCGTATTTGTTAGATATCGATTACGAATTTCTTCAAGTTCATTAGATATAATTTGATACAGAAAATTTTACTCAGTTTTAGCTATGAATTTATATATTGTCTATGTTTATTTTTCTCTGTGTATTGAAATTTATGTTCTTTAAACTTTATTGTTCAACCATTTGTTTAGTTTCTTGTCACTTACAAGTTACATGCAAACTTTTCTTAGTATAGCGTCATACAAAAACACCGGATGTCTTGCCATAATCATGTCCAAAATTGTATTTTGAATCTTAAAAAAATAAAATATGAAAGTAGTCAAACTCGTGCAATTGCATATTCAAGCTTGTATTATTTCGTCTCTATAGCTTTATTGCTGCAAATCTTTTCATAGTCCACGCAAGCAATTAAGGCAATAACTATGCAAAAGATTTGACAATTTTAAAAATTGATTAGGAACTCAACTGTCATATATAGTTATTTTTTGAATTGTGATGTATCAAATACGATCGTTGTCAATATACACAGATATGTCTATTTTAAACTACAATATCATACTTAAAAAGAAACATAAATAAAATTATTATTTCAGAGCATAACTATATATTTCTTAAAGAAATATAACGACTCGATCCGTCTATCTATTATTATTAATACCATATACATTCAAAAGTTTTTGCCAAACTATACATTTTATCATAAAATAAACATAACAACGATTGATCATTTATGACAGCGAAATTAATACCATGACTAATGTTATCAGCGGCACGACAAGCAGACTTTTCAGGACAATTATATATTAACTGATTTATCACGGTTGCATGACGGTGAGTTAGCATCACTATTGGCAACACACTGATAATACAAATTATTGAAAATATATGATGACCATTAGATGAGTCGTCTAATTGTACATTTATAACAAAAATATGTAGTTATAGTATAAAATATTATGTTTCTGCTTTATTAATTTTAGAGTATAATGGTCAATTTAAAAATATTTATATTTGAAAAAAGTAATGATATATGCATTTGTTTCCTAAAGCTTTTCCACCTTTTTTCTAGATTGATTATAAATATATAATGAAAGAAATTACAAATAAGCAATGCATGTATAGTTTTAAATGAAGTCATATAGAGAAAATAAATTTCCAAACCTACCCCCCTTGTCATATACTATATGCATATACCACGTCAGCTTTAACATTGTGCATCAATTATTTTAAATTACACAGCCACCATGTCACGGCCACGTCATCTCGCGTTAAATCTTTCCGCAGCCATGGATGCCATGGCATAGAAGATTCCACCTTATTAAATTATATAGATCGAGATTAATGTGGACTGTGAAGTAATAGTGATGGTAAGCATGACGTCATTTATTAAGATACAAGAATGAAAATTTATAGGCGACTTGATATTTAATTTTGTTTTAAAAACAAAAATAATGTTAAACAAACCTAAAAAGTTTAAAGTTTAAAATATTTTAAAGATTACACATAAGTAAATATAACAATAAAATCATAATTAAAGTTGATGTAATATATTGTGTAGTAATTTGATTTAGATTGTATTAATAAGATTACGGAGAAAAAAGTAAAATAGAAGGTGATCTTTGCAGATTAACAGCTATAACATAATTTACTCATGGCATGATATTCGTGCCTATTGCAGATTGGATTCAAGATTTTATGAACTTATTACCGGCCGTGTCGGACCTAGAACTGGCGTGCCGGGCCGGGCCACAATTACATAAATGATATATTTCATTGGATATAAATAGAGTGGGCTGTTTTAATTCACCTTTTATCGAGAGTCCAAGATAGACTATTTGAAGATTACATGTGAATACATATATGGGCCTAAACTAGGTGAACAAGAAGAAAATGGAGTTTCCTTCTCCCCTTAATTTTCAGCCCATTAACAAACAATTTTGTTGGATCTAACCGAACACTCTTGTAGAGAAAAATAACAAATAGCAACCTAATTTTTGGAGTAATTTTACTTTCGTCTTACCGTTCCTGATTTGAACTTTTGGAAATTTTAGCTATTAAACGAATTTTTATAAAATAGATTTTCCTAAAAGTTTCCAGATTTGAATTATATGTAATGGACTATCTAATTAACCAACGTATCTGTAAGTCTATTGTTAAATCTAGCACCAAATATAAATTAATAATACAAATAATTTTTGCATCCAAAAATCATCTAAGAAGTAGTTTTTGTTTCCTTTTATTATCTTGTTTCATATACATGAAGGACAAAAGTAACAATACGTTAGTTTTTATTTAAAATAACATATTTGCTTAACCTGATTAAAATTTTTTATCCTCTATTCTAACAAATTGGAATTCAAGAAGACGAAATTAAAAATATAGGTATTTTTCCACACTCCCTGCTGAGTGATATGATGCTCTTTGTTGGAGAAAGTACAAAAACCTGTACTTTCGAGATTGAAAATAGATTCGCCACTAACTACTCTAGAATCAGCATCTTAAATCGTATGGCGATTTCGTTTTGTCACAAAAAGTTTTCATTGATTTGTGATAGCAAGCAAGAGGTACTTAATTGATATATGCCACAAGTACGTATACCAGAAGAATAATTAAATAAGTGCCACAAATAGAAACATTTTGGCATACGTCAAGAAAAGTTCTATTCTATTCGGATAGAAAGGCACGAAAAAAATTCGGACAATTTGATTCTGATAGAGTGATGTTAGTTAATTGTTCGTTGTTTTTTATTCGTGATTTAAATTGATACTCAATTTTTCTGGTTCATGGTCACTTGTCAAATGTCAAATGCTGATCAGAATTTTGAAAAGGACTTATGTTCATTTTTGTTCAACGAGTGACTAAACTAGTATGTGAACAACGCAATTCACGGAAAAAATAATATTATGATTATATTATAAATTACATTTAATAATAATAATAATAATAATAATAATAATAATAATAATAATAATAATAATAATAATCATGATTTAGTCATTATTTTGAAAATTGGACCTGATCTAACAATTCGACAAGTGAACCGGAAACTTGTTTATCGATCTATCTGGTTCGCTTGAATAAAATGATTGCTAGTGAACCGGTCCACACCAGCCAATTGGACTTGTAGGATCGGTGTGATTTTTTAAATAAATTTTTGTTACATTCAAAAGTATTTTTAATATAAATAAAACACATATTTAAATAAAATGAAGATTTATAATTTATTTATCAATTAGTTTAAAATTTTGGAATTTTAAATTGTTCTGGTATTTAATTCGTATTTTTATATAAATTTATTACAAAGAGTATTATATATATATATATATTAAAATATTAATAAATTAAATCTTGGTCTAACCAATAATTCATTAAATAAATAATTTGATTGATTCGATGATGTACGGTCCTGTTCTGAGATCCTTGAACTTACTTAATATTAATAAAAGTTGTATTACAATCATTTTGTCAACATAAATATTAAAAAAACGATACATAAATATTCGTAAACCAGTGAACATATCGTCATAAAAGTATTTAATTGGAGTTTGAACTACATTACATTTATCGTAATAAAGTATTTTTAATATTAAAATTTATATTTAATTTCAATAATTGATTTGGTCTAACCAAACTCTTGGTCACTTGGGATAAACCCTATTTGTGTTGTCATACTTTTGGACTATTTTGAATATCATCTAAAATTAAGTAATTCAATCATACGATTGATCCAGATAAAGTTCCTTATTTTTCTTCAATATATTTAATTTAATGAAATAAAATATATTTATAATTCGAACATAGTCATAAAAAAACTTTATTACAACTTCACGCTATCCTTAATAATCCCGTCTTCCCAGGCAAACAATGGATTAAAACATTGCCTCGGACGAGAGATTACATAAATATGCTAGCTTAAATAAATATATGGCCCAGGAATAATGGGGCTATCTTTGCTTTTGGACAGCCACTGCTTTTCCTTTTGTCTTTTCTCTCCTCTTCATTTCCATTGTAACTTTACTCTTTTTTCCTATTATTTGATCACTGTACTCTTATNTTTTTTTTTTTTCTTTTTTGGTTATTATTTGATATCTCTAATCTATTTGAAACAGTCTCCAAAAATTGGGGACCAGAAGTCCGTGGAAGTCTCTGCAGTAACTGGAAAAGTGCTTGATATTGGCACAAGGCATAAGCCTCGGGCTTTAAGGTCTCGTATTGGCCTTTCTTCTTGATCATTAACTTTATTAGGAACCTGCAAATATACAATATAGTGAATTATTGTGATTATTAATTTATCTTTTCAGATTGATTTATCAACTGACTTACCGAATTATATATTGACAAAAATTGTTAATTTTTGTAATACTATGACGAGAAGAATAATAAATGTTATAATGTGACAAGATGTATCTCTTTTTCAATTCACTCACAAACAAGAGTTTTTCTTTTTTATTTCTTTTTTTTTTTAAATAAGTAGTTTGTTTTCCAATGTTCCTAAATACCGGAAAAAGTGTACTAAAATTTTGTGCACTTGTGTAGTGCAACAATAAACTATGTGAAAATTTTACGCACTGTTCACAATTAATCAATAGGTTGAGATTAATTAGCTAATTTGCAACTAGTTTGTGATTAATTAGGCCCTACCTGTCGATGTTGATGCAGATGAGATCCATTTTTCAGATACGGTGTACTTAATACCTGAAATCAATTAAGATAATAGAAGATCAAACAATCGGTACATTTATTTATAAATTGTGAACTTTTGAACTGCAACATTGTTTTTTTCGAAAAAAAATTGATTTGTGCTGTCCAATAAGTTCTAATTNCAATTCCTTGTTACACAAATTAACTATATATTTTTCAGTACAAAATAAGGAGGCCAAGTGCCTAACAAATTAACTATATATTAATTTCACAGTTTGAGCGTCGATGAGTAATTTAGTATTTTATTTATTATCCAAGAATCATTTCCAGCCAAAATTACTTTAGTCCATTCAAAAAATTGCACACATCATATCAAAAAGTTATAGGACTGGTTTACAATTTTGGATTATGTCACAACAAGAATCTATAAGAATCAAGATTCCAAATTAAAATCCAATCCCTTAAAACGTAGAAAGGGCCTGAAATTGCAATTGAGTCATAATTTCGTATAGTGGAGAATTAATGTATAGGAGAGAAAATCTTATGATAGCAATAACATACACTGACTTGATCATGGAGAAACTTGATGTATTCAATAGCTTCATGAAGAACTGATGCAGTATCAGTCTGAAAAAAAAAAGAGTTAATTAACATAAAGATAGTACTTAAATTACAGTCCCGATATTCAGTAATTCTTCTGTTAGTCCGATATACTATTGTGAGTTCATTTGAAATAAAACTATGACATTCGATAATGAAAATATATATATTTATTTGAAGAATACAATGAGTCGACTTATTTAACGATTAATCAGTTATTTCAGGAATTTGTGTAATGAGATTATTGAACAAGAAAGAATTAAAAAAATTATATTACCTTTCCAAAAGGCGAAACCAACTGCTGGAGAGCAGTTACTCGATCCCCCAATTTTTCTTTTCGAACCTGTCCAAAAATTAAACAAATATATATATTTATTTTTTTTAATTAAGAAAAAGCTATCATCATCATCATATATTGCATATATCTTGAATAATATAACTCCACATTTCAAAAGTTAACTTTAACTTAGTCAAAAAGCTCAAATCATTTCCTTTCATTAATATGCACCTTAAACGTCGGCAATGGCGATGGGGTCACGATTCTTGCACGTTTCACACCACCCTCGTCGTTTCCTTTCTTTGTAGCCACCGAACCCGAGTCTCCCGGGTCTTCGTTTACCCGCTGAATTTTTTTTTTTTTTTCAAAAATATAAACAAATAACCAAAATAAAATACAAAAATAAAAACCCTACATATGCATAAACATTAGATAGTATGTACCTTAACATGGGTGTTTGGAACTCTTGTTGATGAGAAACTCGGCACGTTTAAATCGTGAGAATTAACATTCATTTGATCGTAACTTGGGAAGTTATTCATAGTTTGCTGATTATGATCGAGCGAGGGTAATTGGGCCGGGTCGAAATTATCCGTGTCGAAAAGAGTTTGCAACAAAGATTCGGTGTAGCTGTTGTATGAAGGTGAGATATTATTTAATGGAAAATCATTGGAGGTTGATATGGAGTTCAGTGGTTGCAGCTGGAGAGGATAATTCCCACCGAAAGTACTCATGCTTGAATCTGGTGGTGGTAAGGCGATCGAGCAATTATCCTCCGAAGCTTTCATGGCCTGGCTCGGCCAATCAAAGTCCGCCACGTCGTTGGCTCCGGAAGAACACGGCAAAGGAAGGCCGAAGAGATTTTTTGATAAATTCCACCATGTTTCACCAAATGATACTCCTCCTTGAAATTCTTCAGCCATATTAATTGGCCAAATTAAACTATAATGAAGTTTTGAATTTTTTTTTTCTATAATTTGAAATGATTGAAAGTGATTTTTATTGTATAGTGTATGGTTGTGACTTGTGTGTGTATATATAAAGAGAGAAGGGTACGAAGTGGTGGATTAGAGCAACTGAAATTTGGTCAACAGCTTGAGGTAAGAGGTCGTGATTAGACAAACCTAATTTATTGAGAGGCTATATTAGAATTTAATAGTAATGGGAT